GTCTCCATCACAGACATCACTAATCTATCTAGGTAATCTCTCTGGCCTGTATGTCCCTCCCCCTGAAGTCCTCATCCCTTCCAAACAGTGCCACAGGGAGCCACTACTAAGAAGTCGCTCCGCACTTGAAAACTAATTGTAATGAAGAAGGAGGATCCATACACAGAAATATATTAACCAAGGGAGGACGTGATGGAAGAGTTCAAGTTGTATGAAGGTCTGGGGCTTCATTTCTAGCTCTTGAGTACGTTTTTAAAACTTTCCTTAGATCCATGCTTTTGTGTTCACGTAAGATGGGCCTAACCATGTCTTCCACCTCAGTGTCACTGTAAGAATTTCTTAGGGGGGATTTTTGTTTGTTTTTAATACTTGCAAAAGCTTCTGGCTCACTGACTCACTTAGAGGATTCTCAAGAGATGTTGGACATGGTTATTTTGAGGCCCTGACTGAGAATGACAGCTGTCCTCACTGACATGGACAATTCCCACAAGCCATGGCCTTTCCGCAAGGTGGGAAAACCTCTAAGACTCCAGTCTCCATAAGCATTGAGAAATGTATGCTTACACTTCTCCAAAGTACCCAGTGTTGGCAATCAGCACTTCGAAAGACATCTCACCTGATTGAACCTTCTTAGACCCTTGCAAACTGGTCTGTACAACCCAGCAGCTCCTGGGATCTTGGTAGCCAGTGGCCCTCTTCTGTGATCGTCCTGTTCTCTCCTTTCTCGCTCCTTCCTTCAGTGCTGGTTAGAGGCTCCATGAGAGCAGGATTCCAGGTGGGGAATTTGGAGGGAACATGCTCCAGTCCATGTCAGCCCTCCAAGGCCTCGTTTTCACCAGTTCCCGAAATGACTCTAGGGCCTCAAATTCAGCATCCGGCTCTCAGTCGTCTTCCTAGAGCCCACTCTTGCTCTGTCACCCCAAACCAACAGCCCCCCTGTTACACTGGGACGCACAATTTAAAAATCCTGCTGCTCTTTTCCTGTTCCTCCCACTCTCTCACAGTGTTCCCAGCCCATCACTAGAACCGCTCTTTGCGTGTATTCCTGATCCTCTTCCCCACTCTGTCTACGTGGTTCTTGCCTAGCAAGTTCCGAGTCCTGGTTGAGTCCAGCTCTCTTCCCACTCTGCCTATGCCTTGCAGCTAGAGCTCCCAGGGAAGAGCACCCAAGCTGCCTGGCCTCATCCTCAATCCATGGTCACATACTGGAGCGCCTGCCCCACTGCCCTAGTCCACTCATCGCCCTCCTTTCTAAGCCAACTGTCTGAAATTCTCTCTCTAAGCTTTCAACATCCTTCCTGTTCTGGTTGGGATATGATGTGTCCCCTAGAAGCTCATGGTTGAGAGGATGCGAGCTTTTTCAGAGACAAAGTGATTTGATCATGAGGGGTATAACCTAATCTGTGGATTAATCCACTTATGTGGATTAACTGTAGGCAGGTAGGATGTAGCTGGAGGAGGTCACTGGGCCAGGCCTTTGGAGTTTATATTTTATCTTTGGTGAGTGGAGCTCTCTCTGTGGCCATGTCCTGAGCTACTCTCCTCCACCATGCCCTTCCACCAGAAGTTCTGCCTCACCTCAGGCCCCGAGCCATGGAGTCACGAACCTGGCAATGAACTTCTGATACTACGAGCCAAATAAAGTTTTCTCCTCTACGTGACTTTTGTCAGGTCTTTTAGTCTCAGCTAGTACACGGCCCATCCTCATCTCGGCTGATGAGCTGGTTCACTGAGGAAGCAGAAGTCATCAGAGTTTCCCACTCATGACCTCCAGGCCCACGTGCTCTGTCTTCCTTTCCGTTGCCGGAGTGACCTGCCCCTGCTGCCACCTAAGCCCTGCTCCCCGCCTCTCCCTGACTCAAGGACACACCCCAGCACTCCTCTTTCTCTCCGCACTGTCTGGCCCCACCTCCCACCCGAAAGTCTTCCTTGATTCCCACGTTCCCTCTGGCGATGGCTCCATTATTATGTGTCACCTCTCCTCTCCAGTTCCTCTCCTCCATTCTCTCACAACCCCACACCAGCTGAGTCTCTTCTCTCCATCATGAAAGCTCCTCTTTCAAGGCCACCACTGACTCGGCAGGGCTCAGTCCCCGACACCACTGGTCTGACTGGCAGCAGTTAACTCAGAGGGTCCACTCCCTCTTCCAGGAACCTCAACTTCCAGGATGGGCTCCTGGTGTTTCTTGTAACTCACTGGTCACTTCTCAGTCTCTTTGCTGGCTTCCTCTCGTGTCCCCAAGCTCAGCTCTGGACTTTCCAGGAGTGGGTCCTTAGTCGTCTTTCCTGTCGACACATACCATTCACACCACTGGAGACTGTCCTGGGTACACTTCATCCCAGGCTTCTTGCCTGAACTTCATCTTCTTGCCTGAACTTGTTTTTATACATCCAACTGCCTATCAGGCATCTGCACTGGCATTTTTTACCGGTGTCTGAAAACTTTGCATGTTTGAAATGGAGCACGCCATCTTCCCTCCCCAACCTACTATGGCTCTTTTGCTCATTTCTGTTCATCATAGCCTCATGGCTCCAGCTTCTCAGGCCCCAACCAGATAGTCGTCTTTGACACCTGTCTTTCTCTTACACCCACATCCCATCTGTTACCAAATTCTGTCAGCTCTACCTCCGAAGTCCAGCCTGTCCTCAGCAGCTCCGCTGCTGGATTCATGGTCTGCCACCTTCAGCTACTGACTGGATGGTTAAGACACTGTCAGAACTCATCTCCTTTCTTTGATGGACAGCCTATATCATCTGTTCACAGCCCTTCAGCCAGAGTGAGTCTGTTAACACCAAATCATTGTTCTGCTCAGAAGTCATCTTTTATATTTAACTCCTCTTATCTCCCTCTCTTGGCTCTAGCCCCAGTGATCTCATTGCTGTGGCTTACTTCGACCTCCAGGTCTCCTAACACTTCCTGTTCTCACCGTCTGGAATGCTTTCCCCCTAGTTCTCTGAACAGCTCCCACCCTCTACCTCCTTCAGATCTTTGCTCAAATGTCACATTGTTATTAAGGTCTTCCCTGATCACCATGTTTGAAATTATATCCCTACCTTTATTCTCTGGTGCCTCAAGTTCCCTTTCTTGATTTATTTGAGCCAGACTTATCACCACCTAAGGTGCTCCTCCACTCCACAGAGGCCGAGATTGGGACTCTTATTCACAGATCTTTCCTCTGCTCTTAGAACAGTACCTGGCAGATGGTAGGTGCTCAATTAATATTCAATCAAAAGTGATGCTTTTCTTTCCAATCATTGCAAGAACGCCCATAAATGTGACTTTAGGCTGCTTCTATGTCTTTGGGAGGGAGATCTATTGTCCAGAACTGTGATGCACTTGGATCAAAAATGCTAGAGAAAACACATACACACACACACACACAGGCATACACACACACACGCACATAAGGGGGTGCTAAGAACTCTCTGACCATCATAGTGCAAGACCACTGGTTTCTACTTTTGTTTCCTTTCAATCCAGAAGTGCTTCCACATATCTCAATTTTCTAAAAAAGTATAATAAAGCTTTTTTTATAATCATGTAATCTGAAAATGATTCTCATAAAAATAAATTTTTGTTTCCCCAAATTAAAAGCATATATGTTGAAGTGTATTAACAGTTTCAGGAAGACTATAAAGAGGACTATAATGGGGTCTGGATTTAGGACCATGATTCAGAACTCCATGAGTATACAGAAGAGTAAATAAGCAAACTTTCTTCTAATCTCTGTACTATTTTGATAATTATATTCCTTTAATAACTCTTTGTTTTATTAATGATGACCCCTAGACTGGAAATGTAGCCTTGTGATAAAGCACAAGCCTAGCAAGTGTGTTCAATCCCCAGCACTAAAAAAATAAAAAATAAAAGATGATTACTAATGGCTCCCATTGATAGCTGGCTGTCTGTCTGTCTATATGTGCAGCTGGAACTGTTTTGTGCACATAATCTTGTTTAAACATCTTCACATTATCTTTCTGGGCAAGGTACTATTTTTTTTTTTTAATCCCCATTTCACATTTGAGAAGTTGAGATTTAGGAGAAGTCAAGCCGATCCAGCAGAAAGGGGAGGAACTGGTCCAGCAATTGTTGGATTTGCATCCACCGCTGTCCACTCGGTCTTTAACCTGCTGCAGTAATTTCTTCTCACGTCATCATAATTAGAGGGCATCCGTGGCTCTTTGCATTTAAGGCAGTCATTTGAAAGAGAGAATTCCTGATCTTCATTAAAAGGTCACAGAGTCCTAAACCACCTTCATTCATCTCCCTTTCCTCAACAGTAGGAAACGTATGCATTTGTGCCTGCTGTGACTTTTTCAGAGAGGCAGAGGTGATGGACGGGCGCTTTGGGAGGAAGGCGGTGCTGAACTTGGACAGTCAAGTCATCAGTTGGGACACTGGCTTTCCCCCTTCCCTGTCCCTTAGTCCCCTTGCACCCCTCTCAGTATGAATGACCCCTAATAATAGCTACAGAAAATCATCAAGAGCCTTGGTGAAAGGGAGAGAGATGAAAAGGGATGAAGAGGCCATGCTCTAACCCAAGCCTCCTGGGTGGTTTCTCTTGAACCTTGTCTCCACTGCTGGATGACATTTGCCAGACTCAATTCCAGCTGCCTCCCCCAACTTCCTTCTCCAGACTTGCTCAGGGTTAAGTCTGCAGTGCTCTAATCCAGGGGAAAATGACTTATTCTCCAAAGCAGTGTCAAACAGCACATTCCTCTGGCACAGGATGAAGACCAGCTCAGCTCCTCAGCCCTTGATCATTGTCTATTGTTCTCCAAATAGTAAACCAGTACTCACACGGATTGTTCTGGGCTGCAGTTGTACTCCAAGCCCTGGCTCCTCATGAATCTGAAGTGAAGGGCTCTGACCCAGAAAGTGGCAGGTAATTTAAAAAAAAAAAAGAAAGAAGGAAAGAAAAAGAAAAAGACAGACAGGAAAAAGGACCACCGGCGTATGCAATTCTCTCTTGGACTCTGCGAGCTGTAAGCAGGACACAATGGGGTCTCGGAAGTGCGGGGGCTGCCTGAGCTGCCTGCTAATTCCACTTGCACTTTGGAGCATCATTGTGAACATATTACTGTATTTCCCCAATGGGCAGGTCTCCTACGCAGCCAGCAATAAGCTTACCAACTACGTGTGGTATTTTGAAGGAATCTGTTTCTCGGGTGTCATGGTAAGTGTGATTTTGGAGACTTGAGATTGCAGAATGGGGATCCGTTAGTAAGCATGGCCTTGTACACAGTCAAAGTGATGAAAAGCGTTCTATGAATCTTGACTTTCAGATTTGGAAGGTGGGAGGGGATGGAGGGGCTATGAGTCCTTTAAGATTTGGGGCGTAGCTTTGTTTTGGATAAACTTATTCAGCAATGTGGCTTTAGAAATACAGAAAACTAGTCCAAGTAAAGTTTTTGGGACACTGGCCTATAAAAATATTATGCTGAAAAAAATCATGAAGCCGGTGTATCAATTTAAGCTACTTAATTTCCAGTGGCATTACTCTTTTCTAGAATGGATTTTCTGTCTGCACGCAGGATTTCTTTAGCCTGGGGGCAGGGGTACTAAAACAGCATGGAAAAATCAGAGACTTGGAGATTCAGACAAACTTTCTTTCAAATCTAGGCTCTGTCATTTGTGTCAGGAGACCTTTGGCAAGATACTTAAAGCCTCCCTGTCCACATTTTCAAAATGTGAATAATGATGTTTACTTCCCAGGGTGATTGTAGGGATTAAATAAAATCAGATAAAGTGCCCTGGACAGAGACTGACATGTAGTATGTAGCCAGTGACTGTCATAATTATAAATATTTATTTAAAAATGGGCCACATTATCAGTAAGGAGTCCAAATCACCTCTCCAATGATGGAGGATGTTCTTAAATAGGAACTCAAAATTATCACTGGAAAGAATCCGTGAATGTTTTCCTGATGGCTTTGTGTTCTTCAAAAATAAATGAGCTGATAGTAATTCATGTTGGCAACTCAGAGGAAAAGACGCTCTTCCTGGTGGTCCCATTCCTGAAAACAATACATTGTGCACTGTAATCTCCTGAGACTTCCAATAACGTGGAAGAAAAGGCATTATATCTATCTGTATTTGGAGGAATTTACTTATTACAACATTTGAATAGCTATTGTTGGAAAGCAGTTTTCATTTACTTTTGATTTCATTTTGGTTTTGCATATTAAATTGGCAGACTTTTAAGTATTAATACCCAATGCTATGGATGTTGCCACATAATGGGTATACAACTAATGTCAGTGGCACTGCCAATAAAAGCAAATCCTTTGGAGAAGAGTTTGGTGCAAAACATCAAGGTCCATGAAAATGCTGTTGTCTCTCAATTTGATAATCCTAAATCTCATCATTCATTCTGAGGAAATAATCCAAAATAAGGAAAGAGTTATATGAACCATGGTTGTTATAGCATTATTTTAAAAAGCATCTTAGCAGAAAAGGGTCTAAATAAATTATGGTACACTCCCTTCATACAGTGATAAAGATTGTAATTATGAAAATATAACAACATCGAAAATGTATATTATTTTATGTTAAGTGAACAAAGATGCAACAAAGTTAGATACATTTGTTATTACAACTATAGAAAACATGGAAATGAAAAAACTCTGGAAATAAATATATGGAAACATGAAGATGGGCAGAATTGTGGGTAATTTTCCTCCATTGCTTGTGAGTCCTCCACCATGTGGTATTAACAAAATAAAGGCAGCCTCTCTTTCAACAGTCAACAGCTAAGCAACAGGACTCTAGGGTCTAAGGCTAATTATGAGTACCAATACTATAATGATACTGGTTACTGTTACTTCAGCTTTATCTTAACATTGTTTCCTCAATAAGTATCTGTAATGAATGGAAAATACACACAAATAAGATTAAACCAGAATCTATAAGAATCTGTAATAATTAAATTGTTGGAAGGAGAAAAAATATAGGACTCCTTGACTTATATTCCAGGTAAGATTAAAAACTGGAAGAAGAACCCATTTTTTTATTTTTCATTTTCTAAGGATTGCTGCAAAATATTATTGTAATGTCATGATTTCCTGCAGTTCTGATTCCTTGTTAAGAGAAGGTTGAGAAATACAGATTAAACAGTTAAAGGGACAGACAAAGAAAGGAAAGCTGAAGGTGTTGGACACTGGAGGTGTTGCCAATGGTAGAGTGACAGTGACCTCACCTTACGATTTAGTGCTCAACAGTGAGAGCAAAGGATGGGTGGGGAATTTCCCATAAGCTCTGGTTCATACCTCTCTTAGGCCAGAAATTCAGAGTAACGAAATCCACGTCCTTTCCAGAGCTTGAGTCCTTTGCCTAAGATACCAAGAAAAGAAGCAGAAAACATTGAATTATCCCATCACGTTGGCCTAAAACAGACAAAACACACTGGAAATTTTTGATTGCATGGGAAACTGAGCTTCCTTTAAAGAGATAAAGTTTCAGACTAACCCTTCCTCTCACCTCCATTCCCAAGGGCAGTTAGTGGAGAGAGTGGCAGGCTGCAAACTCTGGTGAAGGATTTTCCTTCATCCTCCACAACTGAGGCAGAGAAAATGCAGATTTGCTGCCCAAAGTGGGGTGCTCACGGCTGTACCGCCTACTCCTCCTTATCCATTAGCTTTGACTATTGCAAACCTTGAGAGTAATAGCCAGTATTGATCAATCACTATGAATCCAGCACTGAACTCAAAGCGCTATATAGTGCCTGATAATAACTCAGCAGGGTGAGTTCTGAACCCTACATTTTAGAGAATGACTCTCAAGTTCACACAGCTAGAAAGCAGCAGAGCTGGGATTTGAACCCAAGTCCACCTGACTCCAGACTCAGTGCTTCGAATCCAGGTCCTCTGCTCAGAACCATGTGTGTCAATGAGTGTCCATTTCTGACATTTTCTCCTCCTCCCACAGATGCTGATGGTAGCTGTGGTTCTTCTTGTCCTGGACAATGAGAGCCGCTATAAGTGTTGCCAGAGTGAAAATTGCACCAAAAAATACATGGTAAGAGCAGCAGCTCAGGGGATGGGGGGTGGGTGGGTTCCAGCTTCCTTTCCTGTCAGTCCATAGCATACTGACGTCATCTCACACTCTTGGTCCTTGGTTCAGACTGAGAGTACTCGAGATGTCTTCCACTTTGCTTACCTATTTCCTCTGCCTTTGTTCTGATGGTACTTTTCTAGAATCCCACAATTGAAAGGCACATGGAATTAGGAAAGAGCACTATTTTTTCCTCACTAGGTTTCCAGGAGTCTATTTTTTTCCATGCCAACTTCATTGAGGACCAAGTTACATATGATAAATGGCATCCATCGAAAGTGCAGCATTCTATGAGTTTGGGCTGTTGGATGCACCGTGAAGCTATTGCAATAATAACATATGGAACATTTCCATTAACCCCCCAAAAGTAACCTTTGATCTACTCTGTCATTATAGATTGGTTAGTATCTTATATAAAATGAATCTTATAGTATTTTTCTTTTTATATGGTTTCTCTTATTGACTTAATGATTTGTATATTCATCCATGTTGCTGGGTTTAAAACTTTAAAAATAATTAAAATAGAATCAGAGAGAATAGTTCCACCCAGTCTCCTAAGCCCAAGCTCATCAGGCACACCTGGGCTCTGGCTTCCCCACCATCTCCTCTTCCTCTCCTTCCTAAAATCACATTTACAGACAATTTCTAGTTCTTTCACATTTGCCCAGTGGGTAGATTGTCGCGGCTGCTGTCTTACAGAAGAGGCACCTGTGGGTCCAAGTGAACTTGGTGTTGGTTGACTAGGAGGAGCCTGATCAGACTCTCCTGGGCACTCTGCAGCAGAGGCTCCCATTGCGACCACCCGGAACATGCAAAAAACCTAGTACCTGAATTCCACCCCCGCCTCACCCCAGGTCTCTCATTTAGTTGGTTTGAGATACAACATAGGCGTGATTTCTTTAAAAATCTCCCCAGCAGATTTGGATTTATAGCCAAGATGGTTTGGCCAAATTTCTTGGCCTTTGGAAAATTAATTACTTAATTTAGCACTATGTTCCTGAGGGGTGTGTGTGTGTGTGTGTGTGTGTGTGTGTGTGTTCTCAACCAATACACTCAGACATCTCTGTCCCATAGCTACTTATATTACAGTTACAAAAGAGCTTTCAAAATTGTTTGGGTGAAGCAATAGATTGAGGTAAACGCGTAAGCCATGCTAGTCAAGGAAATTCTAGGAAACAAATGTATGTATCATTAAGTATAGAACCAAAAGCAACATGTCCAATTTATGTTGACTTCCAATTAGCATCTCCAGCACAAAAGGCTGCTAGGAATAGTCTGATGTTATAGCCAGTGACATAATTTTGAACAAAGGATTGCAACTTTGCATCATTTTTATTCCTAAAATTGCAGGTGTGTCCTCCGCCTTCTGGTCTCAGCTTCTAGATTTATCTGCATGTCACTGCCTTCCTGTCTTCCTCTCCCCTTCCAATCAACATTTCTGAAATAAATTAGTTTTTCTCCCAAACCAAACTATACTTCTTGGCATCCTTGTTTCTTTCCCCTTTTCATCTAAATTTCAACTCTGGATTTTTTTTTTTAATAATTCCATCTCCTGTCTCGTTTCTCCCTAATGTGTTTTTCTCCAGTGACTGTCTATCACCTCAACTCCAAGTCATCTCCAGCGGGGCCCTCACCTGTGGGCTCTTCACTTCCAGCTCTGTGCCACCACTGCCAGAGCATGCCTCCAGAAGCACATTGGGTCACGTTATTTCCTTGCTCAAAAATCAGTTCCAAGATTTGTTAGAAAAACAGCCTATTCAAAGTCTGGGGCTGGCTAAGTTCCAAATGAACCTGGGGCACCAGGAAGCAAGGAATTGTTCAAGAATGATAGGAGTAGGCCAAGGAGTTGACCCAAAGGGGGTTCCTGTGGCCAAATTTGGACCCTCTGGGCATCTGAGAAAGTAGTAGCAGCTATGGATTATTGCACATTGGATTATAAAATCAATGAGTCCACAATAATATTGAAAGAGAGAAGCAGAGGAGAGAGAAATGGGAAATGGAAGTCCTTCTGGGTAAGAAAGGGTCACCTAAAATTCAGAGAAATGATAGAATCAATAAAGCAGTTCATTGCAATACCCTGTGTGTTCACTGGTGACCATTGAGGTCATCAGTGGATGCCAGGTCTGTCACTTGAAATGTTAGGAAACAGACTTTGACCCTGTCTCAAAGGGCTCCCTCACCAGTTATTTACTAATTTCAAAATGGAAAATGTACCTATAGGAGAGAGGTCCAAGGGGCACCTTTAGCCAAAGGAACATGCTCAGCTTCAGAGCAGGAGAGGCTCACAGTGCACCTCACCACTCCGGTGTTCCTGCCTAGACGTCTTCTCCCAAACGTGAAGAAATAGGCAGGAAATCCCAGAATATGGGACCTTCACAAGATGACTGGTAGAATTCTTCAAAAAATCAGATACTATGAGAAACAAAGTCAGACTAGTGTAGAGAGACATAACCTTGCACATAAACCTTCATTGGATCCATTAAAAAGAGTTCCAAAATAATGGAAGGCTTTTAACCTTAGGAAAGATGATGCTGTGTATTTAGGGGTGAAAGATCATAACGTCTGCAGACCCACTTTCAAATGGTCCAACAAAACAATAGTGTGTGTGGGTACGAACATATGTGTACACACATGTGCAAAGACACATGCACATAGAGCAAGGGCACAGCATGGGAAGATGTTTGTGATGGGTGAGTTTAGATAAAGAGTACAGAGGGCTTTGTGGTTTTATGTTTTCAACTTTTGCTGTGGATGTAAACATTTTTTTAATAAAATGTTGGAGCAGGGCATGCCCCTGCCAAGGATGAAGAGGTCCAGACTCCTCGATCTGGTATGCAAGCAATCTCTAGCCTAGATCCATGCTGCTTCCCAAGTTCCTTGAGGGTTGAATAGGGTCTGTGGAGCCTATCTCCCCAACATTAACCCCATGTCCATCTGGTCTTCAGAGCTGCTCCCTCAAGCCTCTGAATGAGCCCTTCTCAGGTCAGAGCAGCCTGCCCACTCTCTCACATCTGCCTGTGCCGTTGCTCCTGCTCCCCACACAGAGAAGCCCTTCAGGTCCTTTCCATTCTGTGTGAACTTGAACATGAACACCTAGCAAACCCCCGTTACATTCTTACATGTGAAGATTTTAAAACACCATCTTCACAAGGGAAACAGAAGTCAGAGCTTATTCTTAGAGAAGCTGCCCTACCTAGAAAATAACAGGTCCAACAAATAGCTACAGGCTGATGGATCACGCCCCTTCACCACAATTCTATAAAAGGTCATCATTATTTTGATGGCAGACTTCCAGAAAAATAGAAGAAATTTAGTAAATGATCTGATACCCTCTGAATGATAACAAAAAAAAATCATTTGGAAATGTATTTTATGATCAGACAGGTTTGGATCAAATTTTTCCATTTTTTTTTAATTGTAGTCATAGATAGGCCAAGTGTCTTTATTTTCATGTGGTGCTGAGGATCAAACCCAGAGCCTCACACATGAGAGGCAAGTGCTCTGCCACTGAGCTACCGCCCCAGCCCCAAATTCTCCCATTTTTATATGGCATTTGGAATTACATGGGCTACCTTGGGTTCAGACAAGCAGGGGCGGGTCCCAAAGGGTACTGTGAATAAAGGGCCTCCTTGTTTTGCTCATTCTCTAATCTTCTTCTGTATCTTATTTAGACCATGTTGTCGATTATCTTTTCTGCTCTGGGAATTGCTTTCTCTGGATACAGCCTGGTCATATCTGCTCTGGGTCTCCTCCAGGGCCCATACTGCCGCACCCTCGATGGCTGGGAATATGCCTTCGAAGACACCTCAGGACGGTAAGGACTCATTCCCCAAACCAAGGAGCTCAGAAAATCAGAAACTCTGTCCTCATGCTCAGTTCCATCGTCCACGATTGCCCTGGGGTTCCACATGGACACACACCTTTGGTAATCTTCTCTGGTTTCTGAATGTGATATGTACTCAATATTTTGAGGCAAGCCATCATTGAAAGTTACGTTTTTCCCATAGTTCAGATTAAAACCTCGTGATTATCTGGCAACTAACGGAGCTGGGATCTGTCGGGTTTCAGTGACTCAGTCTTCTTTTGTAGCCAGTTTGGACATGGTCTGCTGCAGTGGCAGGATAGGAATCGTGGTGCCCTTGGAGAGTGCCACTCTGAGCTATAGCAGCAGGGGACATGGAGATAGAACCAGGCTGGACGAGCAGAGAGGTGCAGTCAGATCCAGGATCACGACTCGGGACAGGAGGCTGTGGAGGCATCCAGAGGCTTCCCCAGCTGGTGATGAAGAAAGATCCAGAGAGATGCCCTTGCTCAGAAGGCTGGTGGCTTGAGCACCCCCACCCTGTATCTCAGAATGCCTGCACTGGCCTTGCGCTGGCCTTACTCAGCTACCTGCAGACATAGCTCGGGAGGAAGCAGAGCCCAGAAAGGGATGCAGGAGAAGCCCAGTGCATCTCCTTGTCTTTATCCTGTGCTCAGAATAGAATGGAATACAGTGGGGAGCATATACCGCTCCCTGGGGAGGCTGCATTTTCTTCCCCAGGCCTTATGACTGGCTCCACTGTCTGTTCCAGGGCTTTGTCTGTGTGAGGTCTCACATGCAACCTGGGCCTGCATGGCACTGCTGACCTCTTTTAGTAGACAGGGCTCTCCTCAGGTCAGGAGAACACAGACAATAACCTCAGGCCTTCTAGTGCATTGGAGGTGACATTCCTGTGGTACTGAAGGGGCTCAGGAAAGAAAATCTCAACATAGAAATTCCCGAGTGGACAAAGACCTTTTTTATACCAACTTTTTCCTACCCCCAAACCAAAGCCACTTTCCCTTCCACAAGTCTCTCCGTCACTTTGTTCAGATACCTTGAATGTTGGTCTTCACCTGACTCTGACTACATAAAAGTGTTTAGAGGTGAAAAATTGTTTGCAGACCATGCAGGAAAGCTAAGTCTCTGGTCTCCTAGAGAAGTTTCCAAGGTTTGGTAAATGCAGGGTAGAGAAAGGATTAATATCAAAATGATGAATATTAGTATTTCATTTATGCAGCAAATATTTATTGAGCATCTATTATGTTTACCTCCTGATCAACTGAGAGTGCCTCCCAGGCAGACACCATGTTTAAACTAAGGGTCTAACTCAGTAACTAAGCATACAGTGTTCAATAGATGCACCTGAATGACTTTTCAAGTATATTAATTCATATTACTACACGCTAATATGATGTTATAGTTGTTACAGTTTAATGATAAGGTACTAACTTCCCAAACATATGAGTGGCTGTAATTTCAGCCTTGGATCCAATGTAAGCCCAAGCCCAGGCTCTGATTGGCCATTCCCTCCTCTCTCTCAGTTTTCTGACAGATTCCAGCATGTGGAGCCAGTGTCTGGAGCCCACGCACGTGGTGGAGTGGAACGTGATTTTGTTTTCCATCCTCATAGCCCTGAGTGGGCTTCAGGTGATCGTCTGCCTCGTCAGAATCTCCATTCAGCTTTCCAAGATCCTGTGTGGCACCTACTCCGTCATCATCCAGGTAGTGCTGGCCGCCAGCCTTTTCCCCTTTATCCTGGGGGAAGGTCTCTGCAATCCCTCACTTACCCCCATTTCTACTGCCCTTATTTTTCCTCAAACTCTAAAATCTCAATTTTTTTTCTGATATTCCAGTCATTTGTTGACTGGCCTCAATGGAATGAATTAAGTCAACAACTGTCAAATCGATGCACTATATTGTATGGTCAAAATAGCCTAAGAGTTTTGAGTGAGTGCATTTCATTTCTCTATGTAGAGATAACCAAAAGCATGATGATATTTTACTGTTATTAAGAATTGTCATGCTTATGAGATAATGGAAGGCTCAGGACTTTATCTCACTATTGTTATATTCAAGTAATAATACTTCTTTATACTGAGGACACTAACAAGTGGTTTGAGAAGAGGGGAAATGTCTCATCCTATTGAAACTATTCAACTTCATCTGCTAAAATACTGATAATTTACTTATGGTAAACTACTAAACCTATTCAACAAGTCAAGAGTGAAGAGAAATCTTGAACAAGGAATCTCACATTTTAACAACATATAATGTCAACATCTCTCTGGAGCAGTTTCAAATAGATATTTTCCTATCCTAACTTTTTTTTGCAGTGGGGGTGGGGGCTACCGGGGATTGAATTCAGGGACACTCTACCACTGAGCCATATCCCCAGCCCTATTTTGTATTTTATTTAGAGACAGGATCTTACCGAGTTGCTTAGCACTTCGCTTTTGCTGAACCTGGCTTTGAACTCACGATCCTCCTACCTCAGCCTCCTGAGATGCTGAGATTACAGACATGCACCACCATGCCCAGCTCCTATCATGTTTTGAATATGCTAAATGTTTAAGTTGCTACCTGGATGATGGGTTATTAATCAAGGCAATTTTATAACTTGACTCACTTTGGTTTTTTTTTCTTTTTCCATAGCCTGGAATCATCTGAATATGGACAAGAGTGTTTTTATTGTCAAGATATAGCTGTCAACCTAAGCCTCAGGCCCACTGAGTACTTTGAGGGTGACACTGGATGAGGGCATTTCCTACATTTGGTGTTCATCAGGCCCATTTGTGAAATTTACAGTCCTCACTGGAAGTGTCAATCGGGCCACCTTTTCATTGAGAATTTTTTTCAAACTAATGTGTCAGGAACTTCACAAGTATATGTAGTTATACCCTTCAATCAAATAAGTCCATTTCCAAGAATCTGTACTATGAAAACAAGTAAGAATATAAGAGAAAATTCTTTGCAAATGTGTATTACAGCATGGTCTAATATTCTGGAAAATAGGAAATCCTCCAAAAATCTAACTTTGGGGGAAGAATTAAAGAGTGGTACATTAAATGTAAAATTATATGATAATTATGAATGATGTTTTAGAGGTTAGGAATAATGCTACATAAAAAAAAAGGTTACAAATTTCTGTTTACAGCATTAGCATAACTATTTAAAACAAACCACCAAATAATCAAAGTTTAGGATAAAAACTAAATCTAGTAAGAAACAACAAAATATCAACTGTGATTGATTTGGGTCATAGATGATCTATCTTCCTACTTTTATATACTTTTTAAAAGTTGTGTTTATTAAATATGTTTTACTATAAATGTTTTTTTAAAACTCATATTTTTACTATTAAAATTTTCTATTTTTTCAACCCTTAAAAGTACATGCTTTGTTCAAGTGTTTTTCAACAATTAGTATTCATAAAAATCATGAAATAGCACTTCAACTTTCAATGAGGAAAATAGTGACCTAGATAACCCAAGAAGTTTTATATAAATGCATATCTTGATCTTCTCTCACTCCTGGTGGTGGGGATGCTGGACTAGAATAGTAGCTATGAAATAAATGAGCAGCTGGGGACCTTCCCACCTGGGCAATGGAGAATCTATGGATCAGTAGATGCCTGTGTCCTGGGAATTACCACTGACCTGTATTGCTAAAGTCAAAAGCATTTAAGGTAGAACATTTACAAACCTTCCATCTGCACACACCATGACACCAGCCATGTCTTATATTTTCCCATCGTCTGTGGGGCCTAGCATAGAGTGGGCCTGCAGGCCCTCCATGTCAACATGCACGTCAGGCCCTTCTCCCTGTATCTCTCTGCTGGGCACCGTCTCCATCACAAACCTGCTGGGCTTCAGCACTCTGCCATTCCCCATTGCTATCCTCCATGCACACAGTCAACACCTGCTCTGAGACACACACACACATACACACACACACAAACTTGCATACTTTTCTCAGAAAAGAGTATTTGGTACACAAAGGTGGTCTATGGCATAGTGAGGAAAGATCTATTTTGGAGACAGATTGCTCAGGTTGAAGTCTGGGCTCTGCCTTATTAGCTGTGGGACTAATAAGTTTACTTAGCCTCTCTGTGCCTCGAAACAGGAACAATCATCATTTTATTGTGAAGATTAAGTGGGTTAGTACATGTAACACCGTTAGAAATGGGGTAACTTAAATGAGAACTTAGGTCCATTTGGAGCCCAAGATCTGGGATGCCGAGACTTGGAAGTACTACAAAAGCAACCAAAGAAAAGGGCAGAGGAAGGAAATAGGGCCACAGAGGTGACATGACATCCAAATGTGGGAGAAAAAGGAGGAGAAGGTAAGAGGCAGGCAATACTAGGTTAGACTCCCAAATCCAGAGTATAAGGAAGACCATTAGAACAAGAAGCTCAACTTTCCTTATGTCACCAGCTGAGACTATGAGCTTAGTGGCCAGGTCCTCAGGTTCCTGGAAGTCCTGCCTGTGGCCTATGCACTTCCATTCCTGGGAAGCTGGGGGTTGGAGGGGGGCGGGTATTCAAGGTCATGTTAGGAAAGACACTGGCCAGTGCTTCCTGCTGTGGGAGATGGTGTCAAAATCAGTCCTGAAGGAGCTACAGCATCTGTCAGGAGTGGAGATGCAGCCAGGTAGCTGGGCAGGCTGGCAGGACATATAGAACCAGACACAACAACTTTTACTCAGAAAGAGCGTTGGATTTGGTGCCAGGCCACTTGGATCAGAAATAACACAGTGCCTGGTCCAAAGAACTTAACCAAATCAAACAAAATGCTTTTTAAGGATTGAGATAAAAACAGATACACATAGGTCCCTATAATTTCATGCCTGCCTAAAATGACACTGAATTTATAATAGTTTTGTTTGTTTGTTTGTTTTGTATCAGGGATTGAACCCAAGGGTGCTTAACCACTGTCCCACATCTCCAGGCCTTTTTATGTTTTATTTAGAGACAGGGTCTCGATAAGTTGCTTAGGACCCTGTGAAATTGCTGAGGCTGGCTTTGAACTCAGGATCCTCCTGTCTCAGCCTCCTGAGCCATTGGGATTCTAGGCATGCGCCACCACTCCCAGCCTAATCCAGTTTTTTTAGAGACACAAGACCACAAATGTGGAGAGGTGAGGGGAAAAAATAACCACAATAAAATTGTAGAAGCTGAGAGGTATCTGAGTAACCAACCCAAGAATCACGGCAAGCTCGAGCTGTCCACGGAACATTGAGAACCAACCTGGTTTGTATATTAGAAACCTCAAAAGGAGACCAGAGATGATACCCGTGTTGAGAATAAATCAGGATCCGGGTCCCCGTTGCCCTTGTGTTGAAGATTGAACACCCAAGAAACACCAAGGCAACCTCAGAAAAGAAGTTTTATTTAAAGGATAGAACAGACACAGACTTTACCCAGGGCGAGGGGACCAGAGCTGGTTTTATTTCATTTCAGATTTCCTTTTTCCTCATGCGCCCTCCTCCTCTTATCTTGCCTATGTGACTAGTGACCAAAAGCCCAGAGAGGAACTGCTCAGAAGGGTAGGGAACCGTGGGGGAGGTGGGGCAGGGAGGCACTCATTAACAATCCCTTGCTGTGAGGAACAGCTCCCTGGAGGCAGGTCACCTTGGCAACAGGTTGGAGGAGGGGGAAGTGCTCTGGACGTATCAGCATTTTATTTCCTTTTGAACTCCATTTTCCTGGCCCAATTATCCATTGCCTACACTGTCCTTTTACCCCGACCTTAAAAAGACTCCCAAATGGACCACTGGACCAAGAAGGATTTTGTGAGCCCCATTTCTCTTCTCTCTATGCCACTAGGAAGTGGCAGGTGTCTGAAATTTTATTCTTTGGAAAAGTAAAAACAGAGGGTCCCAGAGTTGGAGAAAACTAGACACAGTACTGCACCCAGAGACCAAATGACTGCATGGCCCAAATACTGGATGCTGGGACACTCCTCCCTGTGAGCCCTCTTATCCCACACAGATCTCGGAAAGTTGGTGGCCATCCAGCCTATCACTTCCCTACACAGACTCTCTAGGGAGTCTGGCCAGGAGGAAAAGCTCACTGGCTGTGCTAGGCAGAATAACACCCCCACCCACCACTGCCCCAATGCCATGTCCTAATCTCTGGAACCCGCAAGTATGTTACCTAGAAAAGCGCTGAGCAGAAGTGATTAAGTTGAGGAGTTTTGAATGATGAGATGGCCCTGCTGGGTTGCCAGGTAAGCCTCACACATCACCAGCATCCTCAAAAAGGGACAAGAGTGTTAGGCACAGAGAGATATGATGCAAGAACCCAGAGAGCAGAAAGTCGCTCCCTTGCTGGCTTTGGACACGGGGTAAGGGGCACAAACAAGGAACACAGTGGACACCAGAACCTGGGAGGACAAGGAGCAACTTCTCCCTGGAAGGAGCCCTGGCCAGCCAGCACTTTCAGGCCTGGGAAGCTGACTTTGGATGTAAGATAATTTGTGCTGTGTTTTGTCTCTAAGTTTGTGGGGGTTGTCGTAGCGCAATAAGAAGCTAATATTCTCATGTTTTAAATAAGCAAATACTTGATAGGAGATTTTAAAAATAAAGTCAAGGACTCCCTCAGAGACCAGAGCAAAAAGAATAAGAAATCTTTAAAACTGGACCAAAAGTCAAAGAAAATTAGAGAACTAGCCAAATAGTCCAACGTCAAATACCAGAAATTTCTAGAAGGAGCAGAGAATCCGAGGGCACAATCATTGCTTTAAAATCCTGGCATAGTGTAGCTAATAAAAAAAAATAAAATTAAAATACAAAAAATAATAATAAATAAATAAATAAAATCCTGGCATAAAAGAGAATATTCTACAGGCTTCCAGGAACAAAAAGAATAGGTCACCCAGAAAGTAGAGGGACTCACTTAGCTTCAGGCTTCTGATGGGCTAAACTGGACCAACCAGGGAGCAGCACCTTCAGAATCCTAAAGGAAATTGTCTTCCTGATGCTTGACATTTTCCAATGAGCAAGTTTCCCCAAAAAAATCCCCTTTACCAAGAAGCCACTGGAGAATGCACTCCTTTCAAATGAGAGAATTTGTCTTCCTCCAAAAAGAGGGAGAAATGGGATTCAGGAAAGAGGAGGTAGGTGAGGGAATCCCCAGGGAGAAGGAAAGGGTGTCCCAAGATGGCAGCTGTTCACCAGGGACAGAGTCCACTGGAGGGAGCCTGTGACTTACAGACCGAGACCTGCAGGCCAAGCACAGTCACTGCTCTAGAGCCCTGCTGCCAGCACCGCCCTTTAGACTTCTAGACAATACACCTGGGCAAGGTTCTTATCTTCCGTGGCTGGACTTAAGCATCCTAATGTTGCTCCCGCCTTCCCATCTACTTCCCCCTGTTGGGTCAGTTGAGGACATCCCTTCCACGCCACAGCAAGGCTTCTCTACTGGGAGCTTAGAAGCAAGAGGGACAGAGAGGCTGACTGCTGTGCCCTGGGTTTGTCTCGAGAAAGACTCTTGAACCTCAGGGCTGATACAGTCTGACCTTGAGGCAGCTCCCTCATCTTCTCCCAGGAAGCCTCTTCCCACCTTGGCAGAGCTGCCTTTTCTCACTTGGATGGGCTTACGCTTGCTGTTCTTGTTTTCTTCAAAAGTAAATAATATATTGCTTAGGGTGAGAAACACAAGGTAGAA